TCACAACCGCATATGGTTGGGCCCTTCGCCAGGATCATTTTCTTCTCCTCCTCCTCCTCCTTCCCTTCCTCCTCCGCATCCTCCTCCCCCTCCTCCGCCGCCTCCTTCACTGTCTTCTTCATCCTCCTCTTCTTCGTTCTTCGTCTTTGCGTTCGCATCTGAACATGTATCCACGCACAAATGTGCAATTACGCGTGCATCTACGCGTGTATCACGGCGAGGAGACAAGCGAGGCGGAGAAGAATCTATAATTACCCCTGCGGGGATATCACCTGTGTATACATAAAAGAACCTATAACGCATGTATTTCGGATCTGGGCGACACCCATAAACGCTTTCGCGGCTGCCCCGACGAATTGCAACATTGCAAATGATCTTTCTTAAAATGCATAGAAAACGCATGTTAACTTCAACATTCAATTGATCACCGTTAGTGTTCGTTCCAGGCCAACATGGCGACGCCCCTATCGTGACAACATTGACATCTTATGTGAGCTTGCAAATCGAATCGGTTACACATCGAATCGGTTACTTCAGTCTTCAAGCCACCATAACGACTTTTCTATTGTGGGCAATTCAGAATCCATTGGGCCCGGGACCAGACCGACGACTTGACGGGACCAGGCCGAAGACTTGACGGCCGCCCACTGCGGAAAAATAGGGGATCCTCAATCGAATGCCGACAATGCGATGGAATGGATAATGATGGCTATAAGTAATCTAATGTCCGCCTGGTTCCTGGTCCGGATCGGACCGCACCAGACCCGTGACCAGTCCGACAATGTATTGACGGGACCACCACTGGCCACTGGGACCACCACTGAGCACTGGCCACTGATTCGATTGTGGGGGGGCTCGAGAATCGGCTCACGTCGCTGACTTTCCCGGCGCCGCCCGGCGCCGGAGGCGGCTAGTGTATCGAGGAATGGGCCAGCTTGGTGAGGCCGAAGCCAGCTGCACGCAGCAAATCTCGTCACCCCCCTTTCCCAATCCCCCCCTTTCGTCCGGCCCGAGCCTCGGGAGTGGCCTCGCCGCGAGGACCGAAGAAGGGGCTCGGCCTGCCGTCGCCGCGGGCGTTGGCCTCGCCGGCCAGGGTGCGGCGCGTGGTGCCCTCCTCCAGGCGCACGGAGGACGTGCCGTGCTCGGTGTCCATGCAACTGGCGTTGCGTCGGGCTTGCCCCCCTGCAGGGGGATTTTCGACGAAACATGAACAAAAAGACCCTCAAGATAATGAGAAAATAGTCCAACAATAGTCCGGGGGCTATTTTTTGAATGTGTTTTGACCTTTCTGGGGCATGTTTGGGGTATTGCTTATCTTTCGTCGAGAAGCCCCCTGTAGGGGGACATGCCCGACTTGAACCTGGCGGCTGCGCTCAGCACCTCGGCGCGCAGGGCGCCGAAGCCGGCGCCCATCTGCACGGCGACGACGCCGCGCCGCGCGAGGGCATCGCTAGGGGGCCACAGGCGAGCCCTACCCCTGTCCCCCACGATCTCTGGAGGGGAGGGTGGGGTTCGCTTCGTTCGGGAGCTCACGAGCGAAGTGAACCCCACCCTCCCCCTAAAAGATCGTGGGGGGTAGGGGCAGGGTTCGCATGTGGCCCCCTCATCGCTGAAGCGGCCCAGGTCGAAGGCGTCCGCCGCGGCCGCCGTGCTCAGCTCGTCGGCGCGGAAGACCTCCGGCCGCAAGCCGCGCGCGGGGGGCTCGCCGGCCGCCAAGGACGCCCACACGAGCAGGGTGCAGGCGCGGGCCATGGCCGCGTGCTGGCCCGAGAGGGCTGCCGTTGTTGAGGCGTCAGTGGCTCGAGCCAAATCCTTGAGCCAAACTTGCTACGGAAAATGTCCTACACGTGTTTGAAACATGTTTGTTCACATGCTTTAGCCATGTTTCAACCATTGTCTCGACAGCTGGGCGTTATCTGGCAACATGCTTCCTCACCATTGATCGTCGTCCGCGACGCAAGGGTGACCCTAGGCAAGAATGACCTTTGGTGCGCGGCCCAATTGGGCGCCATCTGGGGACGCCGCCATGCGCGCAAGCCGCTGCTCCAGCGTCGCATTCCGCGATCGGGGGGGGAGCCCTTTGGGCCCGCACCGACGATCACCCTGGCGAAGGTCGCGCCTGCGTATTGCCCGCCAATGACGCGCACGCCGGGCGAGCCTCCTGGCTCCGCCTCTGCTGCCGCCGCTGCCGTCCCTCCTGCCGCCGCCCCGGGGTCCTGCTCCTGGCTGCTTCTGCCGCCGTCGCCGCTGCTCGGCCCGCGCCCGTGCTCCCTCGCTCCTGCCCGTCGGCGAGGAGGAGGAGGAGGAGGAGGAGGAGGAGGAGGAGGAGGAGGAGGAGGAGGAGGAGGAGGAGGAGGAGGAGGAGGAGGAGGAGGAGGAGGAGGAGGAGCGAGGAGGAGGAGGAGGAGGAGGAGGAGGTAGGAGGAGGAGGAGGAGGAGGAGGAGGTGGAGGAGCGAGGAGAGTAGCGAGGCGGCCCTGGAGGAGGAGGGAGTAGGAGGAGGAGGAGGAGGAGGGGGAGGATGAGGGGAGGAGAGAGAGATGAGGAGGAGGAGAGGAGGATGAGGAGGAGGAGGAGGAGGATGAGGAGGAGGAGGAAGGAGGAGGATGGAGGCGGGGAGGAGGAGAGGAGGAGGCGGAGGAGGAGGAGGAGGAGGAAGGATGAGGAGGAGGCGGAGGAGGAGGAGGAGGAGGTGGAGGAGGAGAGAGCGAGGAAGGAGGATGGAGGAGCGAGGAGGAGGAGGGGAGGAGGGAGGAGAGGAGGAGGAGGAGGTGGACGGAGGAGGAGGGGAGGAGGAGGAGGAGGAGGAGGGAGGAGGAGGAGGAGGAGGAGGAGGAGGAGGAGGAGGAGGAAGGTCGGAGGAGGAGGAGGAGGGAGGAGGAGGTGGAGGAGGAGGAGGTGGAGGAGGAGGAGGATGGAGGAGGAGGAGGAGGAGGAAGGAGGGAGGAGAGGAGGAGGAGGAGGAGGAGGAGGATGGAGGAGGAGGTGGAGGAGGGAGGAGGAGGAGGAGGAGGAGGAGGAGAGGAGAGGAGGAGGAGGAGGAGGAGGAGGAGGAGGAGGTAGGAGGAGGAGGAGAGGAGGAGGAGGAGGGGAGGAGGAGGAGGAGGAGGAGGAGGAGGAGGAGAGAGGAGGTGGAGGAGGAGGAGGAGAGGAGGAGGAGGAGGAGGAGGACGGAGGAGAGAGGACGGAGAGTAGGAGGAGAGAAGGAGAATCGGGAGCGGCAACCATGAGTAACGCAAACATCAGAGGTGGCGCGGATCTCTCGCCTGGGCGCCGGAGCCCCGGTGGCGGCGCCTCCGGCGCCGAACCCCTGGCGCGCGAAGCGCGCCAGGGAGGGGGGGTCCAGCGCCGATCCGAGAATTCCGCGCGGACCTCTGAGGTTTCATGTTTATGTCTTGGAAGGGGGAGGCAAAAAGATATCGATACAGCCATGCCCCGAACCTCTCCTAGGACGCGTCCTGCCCAGAACGCTCGAGGCGGATCCCGGCGTGGCGGCCGAGGGCACCCCCACGTGAGTCCCCCAGAAGAGGTGCACACCAGTTTTACAGTTTTCGTTCCCCTAAGCGGGAAGGAGGAGGCAGTCTCAGAAGAAGCGGGACTGCTCGGAAGGCTGCCAGCCTTCTGAGAAGTCTTCTGCGCCTTCGGGGCAGGCAGATGGAACTTCTCACGAGGCCGTGGAACTTTCGAGCCTTCTGAGACGGCCCGCCCCCTCTCACTTCCACCCGTCGATCGCCGCCGAGCCTGACTCCTGCTCCAGTCTCAGGCGCCTCCTCCTGCTGGCAGACGTGGCTTTGTTATCAGGCCGTGGGGCAGGCCAGTACCAGGTAATGTAACATTCGCGGTGTCTGGATGGTGCGCAGCGGTCGCATGGAAAGTCATTGCTTTTCTCCCATGCATTCGGGCAATTATCTTGAGTGAGATCGCGGGTGTGCACTTTGACCTGTCAGCAGCCGTAATGGCAGAGCTCTTACGCCTGAGTATGGTGACTCCTCGGCCGAGCGGCGCTGCCATCCACCATGTTTCCAGCTGGTGAGCCAGGCGAGGAGAAAACTCCGTATTGTTTGAGTAAGTGTATTTGTAGGTGTATATATATCTATATATATATATATTCATGTGTCTGGTGGTACGCGTGTAGATGGCCCACTCCATCTGCTCGACTGCGGTTTGAGTCTGGTAGTGGTTACGCTTCCTGTGGTAGTAATTGCGGCGAAGGTTTCTGGTGATGCTAATGTTGATTATGCTGGTGGTAATGCGGGGTTTCATAGCAGCGATGTCAAAAGGAGGAGAAGGATGATTCTGATGACGATGATGATGATGACGACGAGGAGGAGGCGGAGGAGGAGCCAGCGTGCCGAAGGATGAAGATGATGATGCTGATGCTGCTGCTGCTGATGATGATGATTTTGCCCCTGATGATGATGAGGGTGATGACGATGCTGGTGATGCTCATGATGATGATGCTGCTGCTGATGATGATGATGATGCTGATGATGCTGATGACGATGATGATGACACAGAGGAGGAGGAAGAGGAGGAGGAGGAGAGGAGGAGGAGGAGGAGGAGGGGAGGGCGAGGCAGGAGGCGTTCAGAAGGAGGAGGAAGGAGGAGGAGAAGGATGAGGCGGGATCGGGAGGATTAGGATTATGGGGTCGAGAGGAGGGGGAGTAGGAGGAGGAGGAGGAGGAGGAGGAGGAGGAGAAAAGGAGAGGGGTAGAGTGGAGAGGGGAGGAGGTCGTGAGGAGGAAAGGAGGACCTTAGGTGATGATCTGGTGCTTGCTGCTGCTGCTGCTGCTGCGGTGATGATTAATGATTAAATGCATGATGATGATGCGGAGGAGGAGGAGGAAGGAGAGGAGGTAGCGAGGAGGACGATGATGAGGGAGTCGAGGAAGGAGATCGAGAGGAGGAGGGACAAAGGTAGGAGGAGGAGGAGGAGGAGGAGGACGAGGCGGACCCTGGGAGGAGGACGGGAAGAGGACGAAGAAGACCCTGGGAGGACGCCTGGTGGGATGCTGTCAGCAGCCCCTCCGACTGCTGCAGCAGGCGGCGCGACGACTCGTCGAGGCGGGCGGCCACCTCCCGCGGGCGAGGGGCAGCGCCCCGCCCTGGCCGGCCCTCGTCCAGCTTCGACACGCTCTCCTCTGGTCTGCATCTCGTCCTCCCTCGTCCTCTCTCGTGCTCTCTCGTTCCCCTCCTCCTCCTCATGCCTCCTCCTCCTCCTCCTGGTCCTCCTCCTCCTCCTCCTCCTCGTCGTCCTCGTCGTCCGCCTCATCCTCCTCCTCCTCCTCGTCCGACTCGTCCGACTCGTCCACCCCCTCCTCGTCCTTCGTCCTCTTCGTCCACAGGGGAAGAGTTTCTTTATTTGTTCTCGTGCCCAGGAAGACGCAACGGAGGAGTTTATCTGCACACATGCATATGTGTATATACCGTAGCACCCCGCAACTGCGGATAAGAGTGAGGGGCGGGCGCGGGCGACGCGGGCGTCGAGCCGGCGGACCTCGTGGCCCTCACCTTCCCTGTCGATGGCGCCCTCCTCCTCCTCCTCCTTCTCCTCCTCCTCCTCCTCCTCGTCCGACTCGTCCGCCTCATCCTCCTCCTCCTCCTCGTCCGACTCGTCCTCCTCGTCCACCCCCTCCTCGTCCTTCGTCCTCTTCGTCCACAGGGGAGGAGTTTCTTTATTTGTTCTCGTGCCCAGGAAGACACAACGGAGGAGTTTATCTGCACACATGCATCTGTGTGTATATACCGTAGCACCCCGCAACTGCGGATAAGAGTGAGGGGCGGGCGCGGGCGACGCGGGCGTCGAGCCGGCGGACCTCGTGGCCCTCACCTTCCCTGTCGATGGCGCCCTCCTCCTCCTCCTCCTCCTTCTCCTCCTCCTCCTCCTCCTGCTCCTCCTCCTCCTCTTCCTCGTCCGCGTCCTCGTCCTCATCGTCGTTGTCGTCGTCCGCCTCCTCCTCCTCCTCCACCTCCTCCTCCTCTTCCTCCTTTTTCTCCTCCTCCTCCTCCACATTCTCCTTACATCCTCTCTTCTTCCGCGTCCTCCTCGTCCCATGTTTACTCCTCTGCATCGCCCTTCTTTCTCAAGATAACGGCAAACCAATCCTTTGTTCCACTGAATGCTCCCCGACTTCTCTGATCCAGGCAACTCGCCAGGGTAAAATTGCTGGATGGGTCGGTGTGGATGAGCGGAGCTTGAACAGGTCTTGGGGTGCTCAGACGGCATGCAAAATCCGCCGCCGCGCTTGTGCGGCACTGGCGTGCTGTGTGGTAGGGTTCGTGGACGCCCCCCTCAGGAGGGTCCTTGAGCGCCCCGAGGCCCCTTAATTTGGGGCGCCTTGAGGTAGCTTTCCCTGAAACCAGGCTTTGGGCACGGATGCCGAATTGCAGCAGGCAACTGGACTGTCAATGAACGTATTCAGACACAGCCCCGCCGCAGGCGCCGATGTGCTGTTGTAGAGTCAACGTGGGCCGGATCGGGGGAATGGCACGAGGGCGCTTTCCCAAACAAATGCGAGCAAGCCCGCCGCAGGCGCCGATTTGCGTGCTCTGACAAGTTCAGCGCGGGGGGGATCGCTGGTGGGCCACCACGAACGAATGCAAAAACAGCCCGCCGCAGGAGCCGAATTTTTGGCTTGCTCTGTGAACGTAGCTTGGGTCGCGGGTGGGTCTCGGGCTATCCTCCTCCACCTGGAAGGAATTCAAAAACAGCCCGCCGCAGGCGCCCCAAATTTTGATGTTACACTGAACGCGGTTTGGGTCGCAGGTTCTCCACCTGGAACGAATGCAAAAGAACCCCGCCGCAGGCGCCGAAGTTTTGGCTTGTTCAGTGAACGTAGTTTTGGTCGCGGGTGGGTCTCGGGCTCTCCACCAACAGCTGGGAGGATTTCAAAAACAGCCCGCCGCAGGCGCCGAACAGTTTGATTTGTACACTGAACGCGGTTTGGGTCGCGTGTGGGTCGCAGATTCTCCACCTGGAACGAATACAAAAGAAGCCCGCCGCAGGCGCTGAGAATTTTGGGTGGGTCGCGGGGTGGGTCGCGGGTCGCGGTGGGTCGCGGGTCGCGGTGGGTCGCGGGTGAGTCGCGGGAGGGTCGCGGGTGGGTCGCGAGGTGGGTCGCGGGCGGGTCGCGGGGTGGGTCGCCGGTGGGTCGCGGGTGGGTCGCTGGGGGGGTCTCGGGGTAGGTCGCGGGCGGGTCACGGGTTAGGTCGCGGGTGGGTCGCGGGTGGGTCGCGGGTGGGTCGCGGGGTGGGTCGCGGGTGGGTCGCGGGGCGGGTCGCGGGTGGGTCGCGGGTGGGTCTCCACTCCAGCCACGCACCCAGGGACAGTGAATGACCGTTCGGTTCAGCCCCCTCACTCTGATACATGTGTGTATATATGTGCGCATTCCCAAACGGTGCGTGAACTTACGGAATATTGCTGCATTGCTGGATGTGCTGGATGGTCACCACCCCGCGCCGCCTCGTGGCCGCCCCGTGGGCGCCCCGTGGTGGTCACAGTTTAGGGGGCTGCGTAGGGCTTTCGCAGCGGTGCCGCCCGTGCCACCTCGTGGGCGCTGGTGGGTGCCCCGCGCTTAGGGGGCACAGTCGAGAACCAACGACAACGCCAGAAACCCGCGAACCTCGAACCCGAAACTCCCAAACTTCCCCCCTGGGCCCCCCTCGCCAGATCAGCACCGTGACGATCCCCAGCACTGCGCATCTGCGCGAGCCAGCGCTCGGACGACCTCGTGGCAGGCGACGGCCTCCGCAACCGCGGGCGCAGCCCTCTCGCGAGCCTCGCCACGCGGCACCCGCCCCACGACGGGGGCCCTGGGCGCTCTTGAGGAGCCTGGCCTTCTACCGAGCGCTGCGCTCTACATAAAGCAGAACGAGGGAAACTGCACACCACACGCGCACGCACACGCACGCACGCACGCACGCACGCCCCCCGCCACACGCACGCACGCACGAACGCACGCACGCACGCACGCGCACACGCGCACACACACACACACACACACACACGGCCGCCCGCGCGCGCGCAGGCAGGCACGCACGCACGCACGCCCGCCCGCCCGCCCGCCCGCCCGGCCGCCCGCCTGCCCGCCCGCCCGCCCGCCCGCGCGCGCACGCACGCACGCACGCGCGCACGCACGCACGCACGCACGCACGCACCGACGCACGCACGCACGACACCCCCACACCCCCCCCCCACACACACACACACACACACACACACAACACACAACACACACACACACACACACACACACACACACACACACACACACACACACACACACCACACACACACACACACACACACACACACACCGCCCGCCCGCACCCGCCGCCCGCGCGCGCAGGCCCGCCCGTCCGCCCGCCCGCCTGCCGCCCGCCCGCCCGAAGCACCGCGCGCGCGCACACAACGCAACCGCGCGCACGCACCGCACGCCACGCAAGCAAAGCACGCGCGCGCGCACGCGGCACGCGCACGCGCACGCGCACTGCGCACGCGCACGGCGCACGCGCGGCGTATCACAACACACCACACACACCCACACAACACACAACACACAAACACACGGCGCGCGCGCACGCACACACACGCGCACGCGCACGGCGCACGCGCGACGCGCACGAGCCACGCGCACGCGCACGCGCACGAGACACAAACACACACACACGCACACACACGACCACACAACCACGCACAGACACAACACACCACACACACGCACACGACCACGCCCACGCCCACGCCCACGCAGGACGCAGACGCGAAGCAGACGCAGAAGACGCAGACGCAGACGCAGACGCAAGACGCAGACGCAGACGCAGACGCACACGCACGCAGCCGCACACGCACACGCACACGCACACGCACACGCACACGCACACGCACACGCACACGCACACGCACACACACAAACACACCACACACACACACACACACACACACACACGACCGCGCGGCGCGCAGGCCGCACGAACGCCCGCCCGCCAGCCGCCCGCCCCCGCCCGCCCGCACGCACGCACGCACGCAAGACGCACGCACGCACGTACACACACACACACTCACGCATACACACACACACACACACACGCACACGTTTACACTCACGTTTACACGCAGTCACAAACACGCACAGTCAGAGCTCCGAACATGTTGATGCATGTGTTCCTCGATGGCAGGTCGTTGCCGTCCTCCTCATCCTCCTCCTCCTCGTCTTGGTCCCTTGATCTCTCGTTCGTCTCTGTGTCACTCCCCCTCCCCGCTCTCCGTCCACTCCATCCAGGCTAGCCGTTCGCTTGATTGGGCTCGAGCGTCCCGCGGAAGCAGCGCCCCCGCCCCGAGAGGGCGGGTCCGCAGGGGGGGCCGCGCCGCGCCCGTGACAAAAGGCGGGCGGCAGGGCGGCCGTATTCCGAGGGCGGGTTCTCTTGACCGGATTCTGGCCTCGGCGTTTCGAGGACGAGGAGGGGTGGATATCATGGCGTGGGCCATGAGATTTCCCCAGATTTCATGGCGCCTCTTCTTGTTTCATTGCGTCCCTGGCCCCCCCCCTGGGACGAGCACATGTCGCCGGCCATGATTTGCACCCCCCCCCTCCTGGACGCCCCCCTCTTTGGCCGCCCCTGACTCCTCGTCCTCCTCGGCCAAGTGAGCGTTTTTTGATTCGGCGTTTCGACATCGGGCGGACAGGGGGGGGGGGTCTGGTTCCAGACCTTTGCGGAGTGCGGCTGTTTGCAGGAGTGATGCCTCTGGGGGAGACGCCACCCGCTCGAAACAGGCGCCAAGAAACAGCCAAGATCTACTCCATGGGGGCGGGAAGGGGGGGTTTGGGGCCCGCGCCGATCGACGAAACAATGAATAATTATTCACTGCGTGGAGCTCCCCATATGTGCATCTACTCGCATGGACCTGTCCGCCGTGAATGTCTAGGCGCAAGAGCTTTCGAATATTAACGGGCTTCAGTTGTGACGGTCTGGACATCAATCTAACTGCGAATGAATTGGAGTGTGAATGAGCCTCAGTAGTACGAGCGCGTCTCTGTGCATGAGCCTGGGGCCTCCTGGGGCCTCCTGAAACCTACTGGGGCTTCCTGGGGTCTCCAGGAGCCTCTTGGGACCTCCTGGGACCTCCTAGGAAGGTTTCGTGCCCCAGGAGAGGCGCAATCTATAGCAACAGACGTACATAAAACATTGCGGATTAGAGCCACAGGAGAAGGGCAATCTATAGGAACACGCGTAAAACACCAAGGACTCGTGCCCCAGGAGAGGCCCAATACATAGGTAACATGAGTAAAACATTTAGGATTGTGTACACAGGAGAAGGACCATCTATAGAAACATACGTAGAACATCAAAGAATCGTGCTCCAGGTGAGGCCCAATCGATAGGAGCATACGTAAAACACATGGGATTGGAGCCACTCCTGTTGCCTTCTGAGGCCTCCTGCTCCTGGGGCCTCTCGGGGCCTCCTGTTGCCTTCCGAGGCCTCCTGGCGCTTCCTGTTGCCTCCTGGGGCCTCCTGTGGTTTCCTGAGGCCTTCTGGAGCTTCCTGGGGCCTCCTGGAGCCTCTTGGGACATCCTGTGGCCTCTTGAGTCTTTCTGTGGCCTCCTGATGCCTCCTGGGACCTCATGTGGTCTCCTGGGGCCTCCTGGAGCCTGTTGGAGCCTCCTGTGGCATCCTGAGAAGAATCTGCGCCCACGAGCCTGGCCACCAAAACAAGCAAACCGATCGAGACATCCTCAAAATCTGGCCCACCTGGGGGGTGAAAATGAGCGCCTCGCTCGAGACATCCTCCAAATCTGCTCCGAAAGCGAAGGATGTTGGGCCCAGAAACAAGCAAACCGCCTGAGACATCCCCACAAAATGGCCGCGAACGAGCCCGTGCAAACACCCCTGGCGGCTCCCCTTAGGGGTGCTGAAATGAGCGCCTCGCTCGAGACATCCTCCAAATCTGCTCCGAAAGCGAAGGATGTTGGGCACAGAAACAGGCAAACCGCCTGAGACATCCCCACAAAATGGCCGCGAACGAGCCCGTGCAACCACCCCTGGCGGCTCCCCTTAGGGGTGCTGAAATGAGCGCCTCGCTCGAGACATCCTCCAAATCTGCTCCGAAAGCGAAGGATGTTGGGCCCAGAAACAAGCAAACCGCCTGAGACATCCCCACAAAATGGCCGCGAACGAGCCCGTGCAAACACCCCTGGCGGCTCCCCTTAGGGGTGCTGAAATGAGCGCCTCGCTCGAGGCATCCTCCAAATCTGTGTATGAGTAAGTCTGTGTATGAGTACGTCTGTGTATGAGTATGTCTGAGTGTGAGTAAGTCTGAGTCTGAGTAGGTCTGAGTATGAGTAAGTCTGAGTATGAGTAAGTCTGTGTATGAGCAAGTCTGAGTATGAGTAAGCCCGACAGGAGGGGGGGAGGAACGAGGAGGAGGGAGGAGAAGGAGTAGGAGGCGTCCAAGTAATAACAAGAACCCCATCTTAGGATATGGGGAAAAAACGAGCAGCGTGACCCCAGGCAAGAGTGACCGCTCGTGCGCGGAATAAGTGGTCAGAACATCTAAGCGCGCATGCAGCCACTATCGCATCGCCCAACTGCTGGTACGAGAGGCAACGATAGGGAGGACTGGCATGGGGGGGGCGAACATCGACCTGGAATCGGCGATACCTCGCCGATCGATCGGCGATAGGCCCCCGATCGTGAACCCGCACCTCCCTGGGCGGGGTGGGGCTACCGGGCCCCTGTCGGCGATCAATGGGCGATTGGGGGTTGATGCGTCCCCCGCTATGCCCATCCCCTGGTGGTTTTCGCGCCACAGCTCGGGTCTCTGGCGTCCATTCGGGACGATCCGGCACCCTCGGAACGCTCTCGGCGAGGCGCAGCCGCTGGAAGGTATCCCAAGGCTGGCAAACCGCCAGGAGCCGACGAAAACGCTCGAAAACCTCGAGCCTCGAGCGTATCGTACGCAGGAGGCATCTATACACCGCCACCGCGCCAAGCCAGGGCCAGCCTGGCCCTGGCATGGTGTATACGCCCTCCTGGCCGAGGCCAGGAGGGTCTACACACCATCGTAGGGCCCACGATGGCACGGTGGTGGTGTATAGGCGCCTTCGCCGGATATCGTGGCCTCCTGTGGGTGTCTTCTCTCCTCCCTCCTCCTCGCCCAAGGGCGGCAGCGGAGGAGAGAGGCCGGGGGGCGCGCGATCGCCCGCAGCTGCTCGGCCGCCGTGGACCGCAGCCTGTGGAAGCCCGCGCTCTGGGCCTCGCGGGGGCGCGTGCGCGAGGAGGGCGCTCTGCCGCCAAGCCCCCCCTCCCGGCCCTCCCTCCCTGAGATCCTTAATTAGGGGAGCGAGACATGGCATAGACATAAAAACTCGGAGGTCGGCGCGGATTTCTCGGATCCGCGCTGGGGCCCCCTGGAGGCGCCTCCGGCGCCGCCCCTGGCGCGCTCCGCGCGCCACGGAGGGGGTCCAACGCCGATCCGAGATATCCGCGCGGACCTCCGAGTTTTTATGTTTGTGTCGTTCCCAGACATCCGCCGATATGATTTGTTCAATCCGCGGCCCCAGAGGTCCCGACCCCTTCCCCGAGAGTGTTTTTTCGTCCCGGGTCCATTTTTGATGGCCCCCGGGCCCGACAACTGGCCCCGGAGGCCGAAATCCAGGAAAAACCTCCAGATCGAAAAAATCAGATCCTCGGATCTCTGGGTTTCTCGTTCCCCGAACCCTGGCGTCCCATTTTTGTCGAGCCGGGCGTCCGCCTTCGCCTGTTTTCGGGCCCCGGGGCCCCCGCAGCTCGAGCCGGGCGTGATTTTTGCTGCGATGTTCCAGCGGGCGCAGAGAGATGGGGTCTTGTAAGGCTCCGGGCGTGCTTTGCTGCGATGTTTCAGTGCTTTTGCCGCGTCGGACCTCTGACTACCTACCAGACCACCCCAACCCAACCCGAAGACCCGAATTTCGGGTTGGGGGGGTACGGGTTCCATATGTGTTTTCTCGATGTTCCCGGACCCCCCCCCCACTAGAAATCGAGTGTAAATCTGACCCTTCGGGTTGGGTTGGGGTGGTTTGGTGGGTGGTGAACCTCAGGGTCGCCCCACCTGCCCCGGCCCCCTCGCGCTTGGAGCAAAAACGAACGGGGGGGCGTTTTGCTGCTCTCGGCCTCCGGGGGTCCTACCTGGGCCCCGGGACCGTCCACGCAAACGACGCTTGGGCGCGAACGAGTTGGAGGGCGATCGCTGGGAGGGGGGGAGTAGATGGTGCCCTCGTCGGGCCCCACAGGCCTTCTTCAGGGCCCCCAAAGGGCCATTTGAGGGCCTCTGCTCGTCAGCCCTCGCGGCCCCCCCCCCTCATGAAGGGCCATTTGAGGGCCTCTGCTCGTCAGCCCTCGCTGCCCCCCCCCCTAGTGTATCGCCCCCCGAGGAGGCGCGCCCCCCGAGACGCAGGAGGATGAAGACCGGTCCGGGGCAAGGGGTATACCGACCTCTACAAGTGGGCGCTGTGAAGCAATCGCGGCGTCGGAGGTCTGGCTCCCCCGCCTCCCCCCTAGCTTTGGCGGCGCGCACAAGGGGGTGGGGGGGAGGGGGGAGGGCGAAAGGGGGGGAGGGCGAAAGGGGGGAGGGCGAAAGGGGGGATAGCAAAGGGGGGGAGGGGGGAGGGCGAAAGGGGGGGATAGCAAAGGGGGGGTTTGAGAATCAGCTCACGTAGCTGATTTTTCCGGCGCCTCCCGGCGCCGAGGCGGCCATGTATCGAGGAATGGGCCCCTCGGTGAGGCCGAAACCAGCTGCATGCAGCAAATTTCGTAACCCCCCCTTTCCCAATCCCCCCCTCTCGTCCGGCCCGAGGGAGGGGGAGGGCTTCTCAGAAGCAGGCAGCTGCTGCTTAGAAGGCGCGGGCCTACATCTATAGAGGAAGGCCCGCGCCTGTAGGCCCGCGCTTTAGGAAGCAGCCATGCTCTAAGAAGCCTCCCCCTCCCCCCACCCCCCTCTGCGCGTGGCTGACCCCTGTCTCGGGCGCTTCGCTCGAGACTTCCTCGCCACAGATCCACGGGGAGCCTGATGCAGTCCACACGCCGTCACGAGGAACCCAAGAAATACAGTCAAAAACCCTTATAAGGACGCGCGGTAAGGACGCAAGACCCTTGGAAGCCGAAGTTGGGATTTTTGGGGCGGCGGACGACGAAAACCTCAAGGGCGCAAGAGCAAGGAAGAGCAAGGACGCAAGGGTACCCTGAGCAAAGTCGCGCGTCCTTATTAGGGTTTTTGACTGTAAGGAGCGAGGCCCCTTCTTCCCATCAGTTGCACTTCGATCTCCCGTGGAAGACCCCATGAACACCTAGAAGACAAACTGTGAAACAGTAAACAAAAATACGAACACTGCTGGGCCCCGGAAGCGGCAGGGCCATACCAGCCTCGAACTTATCCCTATCCTTAAGATTGACACGCCCAAAGGCGATGACAATCTTAGGGATGCGCCCTCAAAACATAAGGGAATCCCTAAGATTGGCATCGTGATGAGGAGATGCCCAGCATAGGGATAGGGATATGTTCCAGGCTGGTAAGGCCAATCATATTTCACCGCTTCCAAAAAAAAAGCCTCTTGAGGAATGGCAGCGACAAAACAAGGCGACCAAAAACTGGGGGAAAGAAAAGACGCTCTGGGATCGGAGCCGGGGCCAGAACCGGCAAAAAGCCGGCGACGGGACCGGTTAAAAATCGGCGTCGGAACCGGCAGAAAAGCGGCAAAACGGAACCGGTGAAAAAACGGCCCCGTCGCTGCCGGGACCCACTAAGCACTGAGCACCTCCCCAACGGAATGGCTCCCCGTTCTCCCGACGTCGTGAGTATTTCACAACGTCGACCCCCAGAGGTCTGGACCCTTTCCCCGGGACCCGTTTTTCCTCCTGGATCCTTTTTTGACGGTCCCGAGGCCTGGCGAGGGCCCTCGGAGGCCGAACATTATGAAAAACCTCCCGTCGCGATTGGTTCTGTGTGTCTGGGTCCTTCTTCCGCGAGGGTGTCTGGCCCAGTGTCTTCGACGTACATGCAGTAATTTAAAGCAAACGACGCTTTCAAGTGCATGCCAAAAGCTAGGAGTCTGGAGCCACAGCATAGCCCCAACAAAATCCAAAACAACAAATCGACCCCAACAAACCTCACACCGAAACGAAAGCGGACTTCCGTTTCAGTCGCCCTCCCTGCCCCGATCTGGAGCCATTCCTACAGACGACCCCGTTCTCTGACCCCCAGACAAACCCAATGTCTGGGTCCCTCTTCCGCGGCCGGGCCGTGCGTCGGGCACCTCCACGGCTGCAAGGGGCGGCCCCGCGCCTCGGCGCCGCGCGCCTCGCTCGCCTGCAGAGCGCTTTCCCAGGGGAAGCCTGCGCGGAGGGCGGCCCGACGCCACATCTGGGCGCCCGCCTTCCCAGAGATCCGAGGATCTGATTCTTTCGATCCGGAGGCTTCTCCTGGATTTTGGCCTCCGGGGCCAGTTGTCGGGCCCGGGGAGCATCAAAAATGGGTCCGGGACGAAAAACCACTCCCGGGGAAGGGGTCGGGACCTCTGGGGCCGCGGATTGAACAAATCACATCGGCGGATGTCTGGGTTACCCTGATCACTGGATGCTGGAGTTTCCCAGTCGCGGCCGACGAGAACAATCGCCACCGATGTTGCTTCAGATTTCGGTATCGGTCGCGACCGGTTTGCTTCAAAATCGGTCGCGACCGATCGACCGCGACCGATCGGTCGCGATCGGTGGTGATTGGTCGCGACCGATTTGGAGTGCCGATCGGTCGCTACCGATCGCGACCGAAAAACATCGGTATCCAATGATCTGGGTAGTGGGCCCTGGAAACGACAGGGCCGTTTTTTCACCGGTTCCGTTTTGCCGTCTCTGTTGCCGGTTCCGACGCCGAAATTGTGCCGGTTCCGTCCCGTCGCCGTCGTTCTGCCGACTCCGGCTCCGGCTCCAATCCCAGAGCCGTTTTTTTTGCAATCTCTGGTCGCCGTTGTTTTGCCGTTCTCACTTTCAGGAAGCACTTTCTCAGAAACGGTGAAAAAGACGGCCCTGCCGCTTCCGGGGCCCACGGGGCGTATCAGATAAGGATGGGCGGTGAGGATGCTTAAGGGCCTTAAGGAAGCAGGCCCGTGCCGAGGCTTCTCGAGGAGCGGGGCGCGGCCAACGAAGGTGGCCAAGGATGGGCCGAGGAGGCCAGGAGGCAGGGATACCCTCTTCCTCCACCTCCTCCTCCTACCCCTCCTCCTCCTCCTCCTCCTCCTCTTCCTCCTCCTCCTACTCCTCCTCCTCCTCCTCCTCCTCCTCCCCTCCTCCCTCCTCCTCCGCCTCCTCCTCCTCCGCCTCCTCCTCCTCCTACCCTTGGGAAGGTCGCCGAGTCGCCCATCCATGCTATGCGAGTCGACTGCACGCGCAACGCGCATTCCATGTTCAGAATGTGGCTCCCGTCGAGGCGCTGCGCTCATTCGTCGTCGGCGTGCCCAGCAGCTGTACAGATGGGAGAGTGGCCCGTCCTCAAAAGATCGCCCTCTCTTGCATGCCGCGCTCATTCGCTTGAAAGTTCACGGCAAATACGCGGATCGGCGACGGTTCTGCCCAATGTTAGCCAGCGTGGGCCCCAAGCAGTGCCGTTCTAGCAATCTATGTCGATCAAATCTGAGTGGAACAGTCGATGTGGTGCAATGCATGTGTAGAAATCTGTGTCGTTGCGCAAAATGGTATGCAATCAATGACGTGCAATATGCGTGGTGCAGTCTAGACGGTGCAATCTCAGCAACGCAATGCACAGCAAAGCACAGCAACGCAATGCAAAACAAGACAAAACAGTGCAAGCCAGCGCAAAGCAATGCAAGCTGGCGCAAAAAGCAATGCAAGGCAACGCAAAGCAACGCAAAGCAACGCAAAGCAATGCAAAGCAACGCACATCAGCGCACAGCCATGCAACGCAATGCCACGCAAAGCACCGCAAAGCACCGCAAAGCCAGGCACACCAACGCAGTGCAAATCCACGCAGAGCAACACAAAACAACGACACGCAGACCAGTGCAATGTGCAACGCAATACAAAAAAACGGCGCAAAACACAGCAACGGCGAGGCGGCGACGGGGCGGCGACGGCGGCAACGCAGCCGCCAACCTGTGCAGCCGGCTGGCTTCACGGGTGGAGGGCGGCTCTGTTTCGGTAGGGGTCGCTTACCCGAGGCCTACGTAGATGACGACTGCCAGGAGCTCACAGGGCGCAACAGCTGGAAGGGGGAACTGGGACACACACAAATACATTCACACAGATGAGAAGATTCCCCATATTTTCTCACAGTTTCTGGGTTTTTGTCTTCCAGCCCACTTCCCATATTTTCCCATATTTTCCGGGGGATCGACGATTAATTGTGTCTGTGTGTTTTTTCCCCTCCTGATATGGGTCGATTACCCGAGGCTTACTTAGATGACGACTACCAGGAGCTCACATGGCGCAACAGCTTCACACAGTGACGGCGACTCCTCTCAGGAACGGCGCTCTCGCTGGATCGCTGGATGCTTTCTTTTGACTTCGTGTGCTTCCTGCCTCTCGTCATCAAAACAAGGATGGAGGGTGGTCCTTCTCCAAAACGGGGCGCTCTCGCATCCGAAAGCAAACCCGTGAGGTGGTCAGGCTTCGAGGGGGCGCCTGTCGCAGCGACAAAGGAACGACGCCTGTCTGGGGCCTGCGAGGAGGAAGCCTTGCGGGGGGGGGGGGCGCCGGAGGGAGCACTGCAGCACCGTCGGCGCATCATGAGCTTACTTTGGCCCTCACCATCGCTGTCCCCCCTCCCCCCTCCCTCTGGCACTGCTGCGGGCACGAGGCGAGCCCTCTGGCGTCGAGGGTGGACCTCGGTGGCGCCGGCGGCAGAGACGCAAGCTTGAGCGCCGGCTGCTCCCCTGGAGGGGCACCGCCCCGCCCACTTCCACGCCCCCCCTCCCCCTCCTCGCCCGCCTCCCCGCCCGACGAGAGGAGGGGAACGGAGGGCCAGGAGCGTCCAAGAGGGGGAGAGCCCCTTGGGGGCACCGCCTCGCCCGTTGCCGCGCGCCCCCCCGTCCTCGCCCGCCTCCCCGCCGGACAAGTGAAGGGGAACGGAGGGCCGGGAGCGTCCAAGAGGCAAGAGCGCCCAGAATCGAATCGGCGAGCCGGACCGGCGGAGAGCGGCAGGCCAGTAGGCGTCCGCTGAGACACCGGAATCCCAATCGGAATCCGAGGCCCAGACATCCGCCGATATGATTTTTCAATCCGCGGCCCCAGAGGTCCCGACCCCTTCCCCAGGAGTGGTTTTTCGTCCCGGATCCATTTTTGATGGTCCCCGGGCCCGACAACTGGCCCCGGAGGCCAAAATCCAGGAAAAACCTCCGGATCGAAACAATCAGATCCTCGGATCTCTGGGAAGGCGGAATCGAATCGGAATCGGAAGCCATCGAGATCGCATCGAAGCGAAGCGCGAGGATCAGTACCAGCCCTGCAAAAGAGGGAGGGTCGCACGTCCTGGCCCGAGGCACGTGCGCGGCCAAGGGGGGGGGGGTCCAAGGGAGCGTTTTGAAACGCGGAGAGCGTTGGGGGTTACTCCTCCTCCTCCTCCTCCTCCTCCTCCTCCTCCTCCTGCTAAAGGTGCCCCTGGCCCAGGGCGCCCCCATCTTTTCGCTCAATGTTCGAGTCCCTGGGGCCCTCTTTGCCTCATGAGCGGTGCTCTGGACGCCGTTGGGGCCTCCTTGGGAATCCTGAGGGCACCTTGGGCAAGGGGTACTTCAAGCAACACCCGAGAGGGAGTCACGGCATTCGGGGAGGTCTCGTAGCCCTGGCCATGACATCCACCCTCCTCATCACCCCTCTCGTGCCCGCCCCGTGGTTTTCGGATCATGCGCATAGGCCCCCAGAAGGCTCCCGACGAGGGGCTACCGCTGGATAGCAGTCCGAGGCTGGAAGCCTAGACTGAAGCCGACGAGGACGTCAGACAACTTCGAATGTCGAACTTCGAACCTCCATCTGGATCCCCTCCTCCTCCTCCCCCTCCTCCTCCTCCTCCTCCTCCTCCTCCTCCTCCTCCTCCTCCCCTTCTTCTACCACCCTTCCTCCTGCTCCTCTTCCTCCTCCCGCCTCCGTGTGGGGTAAGGCGCCATCGACCCCGGGGATGTCCAGCCGGGCCCGCCGCCTGGTGGTCCGTGTGCTTGCGGACGGCGTCGCCACGGCTCTGCTCCACCTTGCGGCGAGGAGGCCGCGAGGAGCAGGAGAGGGAGGATCGGGAGGGGGACGCACAGGAGGGATGGAGGACGGACGGGTGAGGAATGCGCGCAGGCGGTGGAGGGAGGGAGGGCGAGAGGGAGGGAGGGAGGCATGAGCGAGGAGCGACGAGCGGTGAGCGAACCCGAGGTGGAGCGAGTCGGCACGCGACGACGCGAGCCCGTGGCCCACCCCCGTCAGCCATCCGCCGGGGCGGAGCGACGCGCCCAGGCGCGGCGCGCGCGCCGAGGGGGCACCGTCCGAGCGCGACGAAGCTGTGGCTCATGCGGCCCGTCCTCCTCCTCCACCTCCTCCTCCTCCTCCTCCTCCTCCTCATCCTCCTCCTCCTCCTCCTCCTCCTCCTCCTCCTCCTCCTCCTCCCCCAGGTGGGCACCCGATGGGGCTCCCGTCCAGGGTAGGGGGCGGGCCTGCTCCCCATCTAGGACCTCTCTCCGAAGGGTAGGGAGGCAAGAGTGCAGGAGGAGGAGGAGGAGGTGGAGGAGGTGGCCGAGGAGGAGGAGGAGGTCCAGGAAGAGGAGCTGGAGGAGGTGGCCGAGGAGGAGACCCTCCGAAGCGGGGCACCCTGGCACCAGCGGGCCCTCCGCGAAGCACACGACGGCCACCACCCCGCTCTCTCAAACTCCAGGAGGGCGACCAGGAGCAGCGGCCCCAGCCATCGCGAATTCGGCCTCCACTGCAGCGAGCTCTCGCAAGTGCGACGCTGAGGTCCTGCGCCGCTGCGGCCGACCTGCTGGACGCCGCGCCCTTGCGCCTGTGGGCCGTCGCCGCTGCCGCCCTGGCCACAGCCATAGGCTCCAGAGGCGGTTTGGGGACTGCGCGGCGCAGCGGAGCAGCCCGCCGAGGCCGCCGAGGCCGAGGCCGCTGGGCTCCAGCTTAGCTGACGATGCCTGCTGCCACTGCCGCCCACACACGCGCCGATGGCAGCATAGCTAGGGGAACGAACAATGGCATGAACGTAAAAACTCTGAGGTCCGCGCGGATTTCTCGGATCGGCGCTCGACCCCCATCCCTGGCGCGCGGAGCGCGCCAGGGGTGGCGCCGGAGGCGCCGCCAGGGGAGTCCAGCGCGGACCCGAGAAATCCGCGCGGATCTCCGAGTTTTTGTGTTTTATGTCATTGCTCGTTCCCCTAATTGCAGCTGGTGTGGTGTTGGGTTCCAGCCTGGCGCTGCCTATACCTGGTGCCACTGCCTGCCACGCTCGAACTCGCAGACTCCAGCACTGCAGCCGATGAGCCCAGGGTCCTGCTTCTCACTTGGTGCCTGCTGCTGGTGCCTGCGACTCTCGCACAAGCGCTGCTAAATTTAGGTCGGGCATGTCCCCCTACAGGCGGATTTTCGACGAAAACAAAAGACAGCCAAACAACAAAAAGCATAAAGAGAACGATGACCAAAAAATTGTCCCCTAACTATTTTTCGACTATGTTTGAATTTTCCTCCTGTAGAGGGACGTGCCCGACTTAATGCCAAATCGTACCGCAGCTGGTGAAGTCGGGTTGCGACAGCGCTGCCGATCCTTGCTGCCGCTGCCGTCCACTATCGCAGGCGCCGACAACACGATTGTAGCTGGTGGTGCTGGGTGAAAGCTGCTCTGCCGACGTCTGCAGCCACTGCCTTCCACGCGCTTGCTCGCCGATCCGAGCCTGGGAGGTTCCCGCTGCCTCGGTGCCTGCCGCCGCTGCCCGCCATGTCTCGCTCGTGCCGACTCCGGCGTTGTGGCTGGTGCTACACTGGGCTCCAACTGCCCTGCCGATGCCCGCCATGGCCGCCCACATGTTCGCATGCGCCGTCTCCAGCACTGTGGGTGGTGATGCGGGGTTCCCGCTGCACTGCTTGTACAGCCGACGATCTGATCAAGAAGCTATCATGTCAGAGATCTGGGACACCTTCCCAGAAATGTTTTTACATTAACCTGGCCACAAGTCCGTTGTTAACCCTGGAGGGGCGAGTGTGCTCAAGAAACTGGGCCAGCTTTCCATCAAACTGGTCAAAAAACGCTGACCCAGCTTTCCGGGAGGAGGTTTCTTGATCAGATGCTCGACTGTACGGGCTCACGCTGCCGTCCACGTCGCTTCACCCGATTTCAACGCTGTAGCTGCTTAGCCTGGGGACATTTTGCTCTCTGGGTACTCACTGCCACTGCCCTCCGTTCTCGCATGGGCCGGCTCTGGGGCGGTATAGCTGATGATGCTGTTGCCTGCTTTCTTCGCCGATGCCTGCTGCCACTGGGCACTCTTCCCGCACAACCTCGCTCTGGACGTGTATCTGGCAACGTCGGTTCAGATTTCGCTCGCAAGATATCGCTGGGCAAGGTGCCAACCCTCCCTGGCCCTCCACTCGCGCACGCGCCGACGCCTGGGGAATCCAGATTGCACCCATGCCACTACTCCCTGGACACTTGCTGGAGAATTTCGAAGCGAACCCAGCGGTGGCGACGAGGGCCCGGCGGCTGCCTAAAATGTAGGCAGCGGCGGAGGAGGGCGGAGGAGGAGGAGGGGGAGGAGGACAAGCTAGGTGCGCTCGCGTCATATCTGACGTCCTACCCCTCCCTCCCATCCGCGGACGCGTGTCGTAGCGGACTTGTGGCTCCGCGCGCGCGTGCGTAGTGGGTGGTGGTGCGCGTGCGTGCGTGCGTGCGTGCGTGCGTGCGTGTGTGGTTGTGGTGGTGGTGGTGGTGGTGGTGGTGGTGGTGGTGGTGGTGGTGGTGGTGGTGGTGCTGCTGGTTGTGGTGGTGGTGGTGATGGTGGTGCTGGTGGTGGTGGTGGTGCTGGTGGTGGTTGTGGTGGTGGTGGTGAGTGGTGGTGGTGGTGGTGTGGTGGTGGTGGTGGTGGTGCGGCGCGGTGGTGGCGGGCGGATGGGCGCGCGAGAAAGAGGCCCGCGCTGGGGCGAGAACGCCATCCTGAACGACGGAGGCCAAACACCGATCCGAAAATAAGGCCCACGCTGCAGCGGGAACACGATTCGGAACGATTCGGGAGCAGAAATGACGCCGGCGCCTCAGCGAGAGCAGCATTTTTTTTGGGGGGGGGAAACAAGCGAAAACCCGTTTCCCGGGAATCCTGTGTGTAAAAAACAATACGCTGGGGGGTGTCGGATATCTTCGGGACGCCATCAGGGGAAGTGGGAGAGTATGTTCATATTGTGTGATTGTAGAGGAGGAGGAGGAAAAAAAAGAGGAGGAGGGGGAGGAGGAGAAGGAGGAGGAGAGGGAGGAGGAGGAGGAGGAGGAGGAGGAGGAGGAGGAGGAGGGAGGAGGAGGAGGAAAGAGGAGGAGGAGGAGTGACCCGCGCTTGAGGGGGGGGAGAGAGAGGTCCCGCAGTCCTCCCAGCAGCGCTGCCCGCCGCGGCCACCGCCGTGGGCGCCAGCGGCGCGGGCTTTCTCGAGAGGAGACGAAGGCAGAGGGGGGGCGACGAGGCGACAGGGGGAGAGACTACACACGTGCTCGAGCTAACTGGGCAGCAACCTTCGATCGGCGGGCATTCGCGCGGAGCCTGCTGAAAATCAGGCCACGGGTCCTAGCAGGACAGGGGGGGAGAGGAGAAGCACGCAAAGACTAATCTGTACTGTGCAAACAATCAACTGCAATGCAGTACGAAAGGAAACATTCACGATTCGGGGGGAGAAGATGAGGGAGGAAGGAACGAAACGGGTCATCTCCAGCATCGGGTGGTCGTGCTTTGAGCGCATTTTTCAGTATCTCCCAGGCCACTGGACAAGACATATAATGCAATATGTCGTCGCCTCCCACGGCTTGGCATCCCATTATGCAGGCATGGGCCCCGCAGCGATATAGACGAAAAGTGTTCCAGGCATTGCGCGCGGACTTGAGGAGGGCAGTGGAGATGTAAGAGGGGAGGTACTTGCTAAGAGTTTCGAAACGTATACTCGTCAAGTCCGCCGCTCCCTCAGAAGAGGGCAACCACTTCCTAAGTCTTGGTAGTATCACGCACGAGGACGGTCCCAGGGGATTATCACGAACAAGAAGGCGTTGAATATACTGTTGAACTTTGCGGGGGTGAATATCACCAGGAGAAGGATGAATACTGAAAAACGCAGCAAAAAGACGAACCATCTGGAGTAAAATCGATTCACCACTAATCTCATATTATTTCCAAGCAGTGCACACCTCGTCAGATTCCTGCCATTCCTTAACTAGACGGTAATAATATAAAAACATGGAACTCCTGGTTGCTGCCCGCAGGATACATGCTTGCGAGAAGATCTCAAGTCTCCTCGTCTCCACCTGGCGGCTGAAGCTAGTCAGGTCAAACATTGCTTTCGGCGGAATGCTATGCCGCGGCGCACAGGTGAGCAGCTGCAGACCGTCTTTCTCGACAGTGCGGGCACGGGCAACAGGGCGGTGCACTTGCGCCACATGTGAGGCAACAGGCAGGCCATAAATGTTATATGATCGAAGACTTGATGATAACCCGAGGCACAGGGACTTGATGCGTAGACATCGTGCTTTGAGCTTGATAAGGACAGGCCCCCGGGAGGCCTCGATGCTGCCAATCCCAATCCCCGCGCCAAGATACCACCCACGCCGCGAGATTTTGAACTTCTTGACATTGATGTCAGCTCCTTTACACAACCGGATTGCGTACAAATAGGTGGACTTATCAGGGAATGCGAGCTGGCACTTCGTGACGTTTAAATGGAGGCCAGTACCACCCCCCACTCCTATCAAGCACTCGAACGATGTTCGGCAAAATAGCAATCAAGTCCCAGCTGGACGCGGCAAGGTCGTCTGCGAAGACGTTAAACACAACTACAGAGAAGAGCGACGCCTCTTGCAACTTCCTGATCGCAGGGTCGAAGCAGAGGCTGAAGAGAAGCCCGCTCAATGGACATCCCTGTTTTACGCCATGCATGAGGTGTGCATGGAATGGGTCAGATCCAGCAAACATTATGCGCATGCTACTGTCCTGCTATAGTGACATGATGCCAAGGAAGATGAACTGA